CTTGTACCAGCGCCGAGTAGGAGTAATAACTAAGCACTCACGTGTGAGCGCAAAGTAGTCAAAGGAATCGGTTAAGCTTTCCTTCAGGCACCCTTGGTTTAACCTAATTCTAAGCTTAACCCTTTTGGGTTAGTGAAAACCTTCAAAGACTCGATGTGTATGCACGATGACGTAATTTCTGTTTCAAGTTTCGATTTCAGATTAATTTCTTTAATTATAATTGTTCTAGACGAAGAATTGTTAACAGTTTACTGTGGAAAAGTTCGTCATAGACACGATTTGTAGAAGTATGGGACAAAGTGTAGGTCTTATTGAAAGGCTTAAAACCCTTAAATAAAGGAATGAAGTACGAAATACACAAAAAAAGTAAGTGAGATTTCATTGACTTGATGACTGAGAAAATAAGCATCTCGGAAACGTCAGAAATTTTCTACCATATGACAATATATGTCAAATAAAGTTATTTTTGTAGAATAACATTAGAGAGCTTGGAAAATTTGTACAAGCTCTTTTAGGGAAGACTTTTCCACCATTGTTAAAACTTGCAATATTTTGTTTAGTTGTTAAGATATCGCCTTGAAATTTAATCTTTTTGGAGTTTGGATCCTGATATCACCACCTTTATAAGTACCTTATTCAGAGAAAAGTGAAAGTTTTTTTTATTTTCTATTTTTTTTATTTTCATTGCTCGAACAGGTGTAGGAGATCGGAGGAAAAGCAAGCACGTGTGCTCTTGACAGGAGCTGTCGTTAGAGTTTCAAGGATGTTGAAAGGTACACAGTTTGTCAGTCAGCTTCTAATCACATAGAGCGGTTTAATTAAGAAGTAACAGAGCCCTTTAATGTTGCGGTTATTTCCCGAGCTCCTTGCCTGGGTCGTCTCCCGAAGGCAATTAGGCATCCAGCTAGAACAGGTAATAAAACATGCAATTACATGGAACATATGAATATAAGAATTCGTATTTTATTTAAGTTTAGACGTGTTTTATAGTTCATTATGTGGTTATCTGCCTTTCAACATTTTTCGTCGCGTAAGCTAACAACCAAATATGTCCTTTAAAATTACGGGTATCTTGTCTGAACTTATTTAGAAGACCAGTGATTGTCGTTAATTTTACCTAACAATCATACAGTGCATTCAATAGCTGCTTCGTATTAAAACATTGATGTATAAAACTATTTCCGAGTCCGATCTGATTTGTAGGAACGGCTTTAGTCTGACTGTAGGTTCAGTAGCTTTATTGAACAGTGAGAATAGCTTAACTTTAGAGTTTACTGTGAGTACAGACTTTCGCTTGGAATTTCAGGAAAGGACATTTGTTAGTCCGTTCGGAACATATCGGAACGAAACGAGTAAAATAGAAGACAATATGCATCTTAGCCAGAGACGGTTATTGAGTGGTGGCGATCCAATCACTCCATTGTCACTTTACTTAATGCCGTCACGTGTGGCCTGTTTGGTCACTGAACCGCGAGAGTGCGGTTTGTTTCTCTGTCTGCTGGACGCCTGAACGACCCACGTGATTTCTGAACTGCTAAGAACATTCTGGTGCAGTGGTACATTACTCTGCGTCCTTGTTTGTTAATTATAAGAAGCTCAGAAGGAATGAGACACACTTTTAAAACACCGAAAACACACTATGAGAATTTAAATTGTGAAATTTTTTAACATTCTAAAATTTAATAACATAAAAATGTATTTTTTTTATATCTTAATTGCGTCATGTTTGTGTTTATTAATACAATAATTTATTTACCGTCTATACACAAACTTAAAAATGTTGTTAAAATTACTTAAAATTATAACATTTTTTCATTAGATACTAGATCTTGTTACATTTTATATTGACGACATGTTTCGATGTGTATTACACCATCATCAGGTCTATCAATTTTAAAAACTGTTTTAAAAACATTTAAAGGAAGAGACTTAAAAATCAAACAAATCAATATACGCAAAGCAAGATGTGCAACAGTTTTTAAAACAGTTTTTAAAATTGATAGACCTGATGATGGTGTAATACACATCGAAACATGTCGTCAATATAAAATGTAACAAGATCTAGTATCTAATGAAAAAATGTTATAATTTTAAGTAATTTTAACAACATTTTTAAGTTTGTGTATAGACGGTAAATAAATTATTGTATAAAAATGTATATATATATTCATATTCGTGTTTTATAGAGGAAGTGCGGTAGGACGTTAATTTCATGACACAAGTAGAAGCACTCTTTGAATTTCGCATCAAGAAATGTACGGACATTCCACTTTATTTTACACCGAAACCTATGTCATGTGTAGGCCCCCTTCGTCTGTCTGGTTCTCTTCATCTCTGGATCTCTGGCCTTATTTTCAGGCGACCATAACCGTTTTATGGTTCATAAAGGGATCACTATGTTCAGCCACGGTTGTAAATAATGGCAGATATGTGTGATGTCACATGCTTTTGCACTTTTGGTACACTTTTCTTAG